GCTTCAGACATTTGTTTCGATACGTGAGATAATTCATGCGTACCTTCACTCGAGCTTGCCAGACACGAAGATTACCACGAATTGTGCGATCAAGCATCCCCATGCCCGAGTTCAAGCCCTGGTACGTCTGGTACTCGGCCTGAGTAAACGTGACACCGAAAAGTAGCGCCAAAAACACCGACATGCCCACTCGTGTGAGGTTGTACGTAGGTGAGCGCCAGTACATGTCCATAAAGCGCTTGACGAGGAAGTGCATCTGGGTCGTGGACGCTGCGGCTCGTTTCTTGGCGAAGAGCAGCTCGGAGATGTCACGAGACGGCAGTCCGATGCCTTCATTCGACAGAGCGTGGTGCAGTTTCTGCTGCTGTTCGCTGGCTTCAAACGTCGATACAAAGTCCAAGCCATCCGCGGAATTGTTCGAGACACCGGCACCGATACACTCGAGCATCCACGTCGCAGGGTTGTACTTGGCCGGCAGCGACGAGATGCCCGGAAGCGCGTCAAAGTAGTCGACCAGATGCTTGCACTTGTGTCCCAAGTCACCGAAGAACACCGTCTCGCCACCGCGTTTCAGCAGCAACAGACTGTCGAACAGGAAGAAAACCTCCGCCAAAGGTTGGTGGATCGTACACACGATGGTGCGTTTAGAGTCCGCCACCTTCCGCACTCCATCCATGATCACTTTAGCGGATCGAGCGTCCAGTCCACTGGTAGGTTCGTCAAGGAACAAGACACTCGGCTGAGCAGCCAGCTCCACGCCGATCGTTAAGCGCTTCATCTGCCCCGTGGAGCTGCCTCGGATGATCTGGTCGGCGATCTCGTGCAAGTCCAGAAGCGTCAAACACTCGTCCACGGAATCGTACTTAGAGGGATGTCCAAGTAAAAAAGTAATGACTTATTTGCGCCAACTTATTCCATAAAAAGGGCAGTCTTGAAAAGTCGTTGTCAGATCACCTTGCTTATAAGTCAAAGAAAAAAAGTTGGTCCGTCACCAACTTTTCTGAAGGAGAGACGGCTTATGTCAAGGGGGGTTGGATTTCAAGAAGTTGCAGCTGGTGGAGAACGCCTCGAACTACGTCGCCCACGCTCCTCCTGGCCACCGAATGGAGCCTACAGAGCCTGGTGGGACTCCCATGGATGTCGACGATGGCTTTCTCAGCGTGCAACACGCTGCGGTGAATGCTAGAGCGGCACAATATGCGATACATGACCGTCACGGTTTTGCTGGTGGCGAAGACGTCGAGATGGGTGTTCCCGGCGACGGGAGTGCAGGGGAGGCAGACGGAGACGTCGATGACGATGTGATTGTATCGATCTTCTTGCTGTTCATCACGCTTGGGGCAACGTTTGGAGCACTGGACTGGAGATCACTTCGCGCTTCTCCTAGCGAACGAATTGCTGTCAGATCGGACTTTTACGCGAAGCTGAAGGAGCAGAGGTCCCCTTCGGCCTACCGAAAAACACTCCGCTGCATGCCGGCATCATTTGATGCCCTTTGTTCGTTCTTGGAGCCTTTGTACTACAGGAAGTACGGGCTACCAGGAAAAAACTTGCATTATTCTTTTGATTGGAGGCTTGCGGTCTTACTAACCTACTGTGTGGACAAGACGGTGATGGTATTGGAGGTGCAGCAGCACAGCTTGGGATGTCTCGGCCAGTTGCAAGTCGCTACATCAAGCGGCTGGAAAAACTCTTATACGGTATGATGGACGACGTGATTTACTTTCCGTCGCCTACTGCAGACGATGAGTGGGGGGCGTTGGTGGACGGCTTTGCTGGGAAAAATGCCGATTTTCCAGATGTGGCATGTGTATTTGATGGCACTCTAATACGGACTAGAAGACCCAACGACCATCAGGTAGATTGCTAGGTACTCTCTTGCTGTCTTCAAATTGTGATCATCGCTCCCTCAATTATTTCAGGGCTTTTACGACAAGAGCGGCAAGCCATCTTATAATGATGACCAATTTCTCCCCAGCCCCTGGCTCGATAATCCATTTCTTCACCCACGTCTTGCAATCGACCGTGACGATACCAATACCAAGAAACTTCCAAGCACCAACTTGTTTCTGCTTGAACTGGGTAAGTTCATAGCAAAAGACGAGCGCAAGATCCCAGTTATGCCACTTTGGCTTTCGCTGACCATCTCGCCCTGCACGCCCTGTATACTCAGCATTTAAACCCTCAATGATCTTCTCCATCGCACCGCTGTCTAGTTTTTTCTTCTTACAATGTTTGCATTCGCAAACGAACAGTGGATTGTCACTCCCAGGAACCATCACGTAACAATCCAATCTCTCGCTGTCCTTAGCGCGAGCAAGATGGCCGAAGTTGCAGTCACCATCACCAGCACCGCAGGCGCCAATAATATAATCCGGCCATCTCGCATTAGGTGGTGCCACAAACGGGATCATGGTTTCTGCGAACTTCTTCTTCAAACCAGCGTATCTTTCCAACAACGCACTGGCCTTAAATTTTGTTGGATAGGGTTCGTCCTGAAATTCATCAACCAAAGCAAAGAAGAACTCGTTAAAGGCGATTCCTCGAACACCATTTTTTCGCGACGCACAGAAAAGCGCATGAGCCTCTAAGCTCTCGAATTCGCAGTAATTGTTTCTGAGAGCATTTGTATTTCCGTGTGGTTCATTGCCAATTCGTCTGCGAAACTCATCAAAAACACTAGCTGTTGAATACTTCGTCCCGGTGTTGTAGTCGTAGTACGCCGAAAACTCCTTTCCACCGAGCACGGCGAGGTACAGCAACACGTCTTCCTCAATGACTGGAAAACGACAGATTGGTATCCAGGGGGTTCCATCCCCTTTTTTTAAAATGCCCCCTGAAACAACCACATCAGTAATTTCTTCATCAGCCAAGTTCGCAAAATGCACATGCATGCTCTGAACCCCCACTTTACTCTTTTTCAGAGGAGGTTCACTCCTGTCATCATCACCACTGGTAGCAGAAATCGTGTAATGAGGAAGTTCAACGCTGGCATTGGTGTACGATAGCGCCATCAGCTGCGCATGTCTCCCTGACTCAGTGTTCATGAAACCTTTGGCATCCTGAGCCTTGACATATACCGCCTTGAACGCTGCGTCTAGCATGTCCGCCAAAGCAAATATTTCATTTTCCGCAACTTCCTCCAGAGCAAATTGTACCACAGCGTCCACAAAATACCGCGAGAACAGACCACGAGAATTATCAGCAATGTCCTTCACGACGGGGTGCAAATTTATCACCTTCTGCCACGATTCTTCCTTCGCAGGATCGTTGAAGGGAATAGACTGGTAAGTTGGAAAACTAGAGACAACGGTCATCCACCAATGAGAGCCTGTGCGACTGTGCTGTGACTGACTAACCAGATTCGAAATCTTTCGTCCGTGCACATTACAATCACGACCAGACCGCAAGCACGAAAGACATTGCGTTGAAACGCCGCTAATTTCATCATGTTCGGAATTTCCCCGCTTGCGTCATTTCATCCAAAATGAAGAACGGCAACACTTTTCGATTGATCATTTTCGTGCGCGCATCAATGACATCTTTCAGACCACACTTGGCCACTTCAAACGTTTCGTTTTCAACGCGGATCATCTGTGCGCCAACATCTGCACGGGAATAATACCTCAACAGTTCGATAATGAACCCATACGTCCACAGTTCCTGCGTGGTGTAAAACGATGAAGCGCAGTTCAAAATCTCTGCTTTTGGTAGCTTCTCCAGCCCGTCCTTCTTCACAACAGATTCGAAGGCAGTCGCGATGGATGAAAAGTTCCAATACACGCGTTGCATTT